AACCACATACATACATATCACACACACACACACATGTGCCGGTATGAGTATGGCCCGGCGTTGACATACACACATGGACCATAACACACACACACACACACACACACACACACACACACACGCACTTCTGGGTCTGTGAGTCTCCATCCGTGTGTGTGTGTGTGGTCCAGATGAGGAAGGAGAACCCCCACCCCCCCCTGCGGAACAGGACTGGGTTTCCTTTTCTTCTGCCTCTGGAACCGTGTGTGCTGTCCTGTTAAGGGCACACACACACACGCACACACGCACACGCACACTGGACCACCTTTTACTCCGCGTTGCTTGTGTGGAACAGGTGCGGCTCTCTTTTCGTATGTGCTGTCCTGGAAAGGAAGTGCTATATTATCTTGTCCCTGTGTGGGGGTGCTGCCTAGCGTGTCCTCTTCTCTACTTCGTTTCCGCCGCCCATCGCCCCTGGTTTGTGCCACGAACGGGACAACCCGCTTCCGCGGTTCTGTGGTTTGGTGTCTGTGTGCGGGCACCCCCGCCCGCCCTCACCCTGACACATACCATTGGGGGGGGAGGGGGGGGAGCGGGCGCAGAACGCGCAGCGCACAAATACAACTACATAGGCGTGTGCATCTGTTTGTTCATTGACCCACAATCAAAAAGTACTTGAGATGGTGCATGGGTGTCACTCATGGACTTGCAGGATCAAGGGACTTAGCAAGTGGATTGTAAGTACTCAAGTTAAGCCTAAAACCCAAAACCCTGCCATACACTGACCCTGGCTCGAAAAATTGACACGAACCCATTCTGACCAACACCAAGTACCCTGATTCTTCAAGCAGGCCTTCAGCCCTGAGCCTTGAACCTTACTACAGAACCCTTATAATTGGCCCTATAGGACCCGATACGCCCCTTATGTAAACCTCAAGAGTTGCTGCCCTGAGCCCTTGATCGTGGCCAGGTGATCGATTTCCGGAACCGTGAGATCGGGCAGTTCAAGCCGCCTGGCCGGGTTTCAACTTTGGGGGCTTCGAACCTGAAATCACAATCATAAGAAACCTGAACCCCAAGCCCTAAACCCTTAAACCCTAAATCCTTAACTTGAGCCCTTGTCTGAAACCATAAACCCTCGCACCCTGAACATCAGCAAAGCCTTGCAGTCGGGTTTAGGGCAGTTTAGCGACCTCTCCCCTAGCTTCGGCTGTGTTTGCTAAACCATACCTCACGGTTAGAGGTATAGCTGTATCACGCTGAATTGCTAAGTAGTATGGGTGAGTCAAGTTCAGAAAATATTCCAAGTTAACCCGCCATAGCCCATTTGTTGGTAGCGTCCCTGAGAAACACTACTCCGGAGAATTCCCTCATACAACTGTTGCAAGACATCCACTAAGCCCTGGTGCAAGACATCCGCTAAGCCCTAGTCTCACTACGAGAAGGCCCCAATACCCCTAAATTAAAGCCGTATAGAAGCCTTACAGAGCATTTTGCCGGCTCTGGAAACAGTTTTCTAAGTATCAAGGCACCTATATTATAAATCTTTGCGAAGCTCTTGAAAGTCCTACAAAACATCCTGTAGCTGCCCTAGTCCATTTTGAAAGCCTCTATAAACCTATTCTAATTATTCAGACCCCTCTATTCCACAGACTCAGGTGGGGAACTGGTTTCTTCGGACCGTCCGTGACCGGCGTGAGTTTAGGCGGCTACGCCGGTGTCGGATGGAAAGGCCAGCTTCGAGCTGCGATAAGACGTTTGCACAACCCATATAAGGCAGGGGCCTACAAATAATTACCAATACTGTTGTGGGGGCTCCTTAGTATCATTATAGTATAATATAACCTCCCCCCAAACCCTATTCTAATCATTAAGGCCCCGAGATAAAAGGGTCTAAGGTTTCAGCTCCCCCCTCCCCAGAGGAGCCGCCTCATCGACCCCAGCCCTGCTCTCCCTTGAAGTCTGGATCCTGAATCCCCCAACTCCAACTGATGCCCCTGACACCGATGTAATTATAAGGGCCGTACTAATTACCTATACTGTTTTGGGGACTCCTTATTTTAAATGTAGTATAATATACACCACAACCCGATTCTTATTATTAAGACCCCTATATTGGAACTGTCTGCAAGGGTTTACAAGGTCGGTGAAGATGCTCCCCTCTCGATGCCACTTCGGTTTCGGAAGAATGTATAGATGCGATTTACTGCAGGGTAATCCCTGCCAAGGCATTTGGCTTGATAAAGTTATCCCCGTCCTAACTATTCTGCCCTTTGAGTTTGCATCACTCGCCCCATGTGGAACAAGCCAACTCACGGCTTCGTGCTGATGATTTCAAGCGTTTACGGCCGTAGCGCGCAGCCTTAAGCTACAGGTTGCGGCGTACCCCGCAACCCGGTAACCCCAAACACCAACTGCCAAGAATCTGCACAAGTTCGACTTTTGAGGTTTTCTGTGGCTACTGAACCCTTTGTCAAGGGTTTGCAGGTGGTGTTAGGATTCAAGGTGCAGAATGTCGGATGCCTCGATTTGTGCCTCTTTGGGCCTATGGCGCATCCTCACAGTGACTCCTACACATTGCCTTTAGGTCTGCAAGGCCAGCACCTTCTGTTCCAAAGCAGCCACGGCCTAGGGCAGGTCGCTATGTCATCATACCCCTTCCCTGGAGCATGATGTAATTTACGGATATCCCAACAACAAGCTTAGAAGCAAGTCAGCATCAGGCTACAAGCAGAACTGGACGCTGCAGGAGGCGTACGTGACAGGCTCGCGGCTTTTGCTTTGGGGAGTTGTGGCTTTGCTTCTGAACTCGTCTGCTTAACCTTCATAAGCCCAGCATAGACGTCAGGATCATTAGCGACATTATTCCTTCGTAGTCCCTACATGGTTCTAGCAATTCAAATATGGTTTGCCCCAAAACCTTATTCTAGTTATTGATAACCTTAATCAATCCGATAAGGTCTTCGGCTTTGGCTCTTGGCCGCTGGGTTGCGGGCTGGCGTTTAGGGCTGCCGGAGGTTTACGGTTCAGGGTTCAGGCTTTAGGGTTTTAAAATTTTAGGGTTCACGGTGTAGAGTGAACCCCAGGAATCCGGATGTTCAGGTGTTGTAACATGGATGTATGCAAAAAGTGGTGCAGGGTCTTGAGTTCGTGGTCTTCAACTTCAAAGCTGCGGTGGAAGGTTTAGGGTTTGGGGTTCAGGTAGGGTAACCCCGGTTGGAGTACCGATATGTAACCTCAAGTTGAGCTTACTCACGAATTTTCCGGTTCGGGCACAGCCGAGGTTTATGGGCCCCCCTCCTAAACCCTATCCAGAGTTCTTGTTTACTCATTCGTCTGCTTCTTTACATGCTCGTCGACCTACTCTCCGTATGATTTGCTGGTGTTCGTTGTATTGCCTTCAGTCTCTTGACGGCGAGCCGACAACCCCGGAAGCCCCAAAACCGTCCGTGCCAACGTACAACCGCACCCAAAATGTCGGAATGCCGCAAAACCTGACGTTTTGGGGGCATGGCATGGGGCTTCACGGTGTAGGGTTTTGCGGAGTATAGCGAGCTACTCAAGGTTTTGAGGGTTGGGGAGCACAAAGCCCCAACTCTTTTCCCCAAACCAGAAGCCCAAACAGAAACACCTCAAACCGGCAAAGCCGGCAACACAGCATAACTGGCATAACTGCAGTGCCCTCAAAACCCCGCATCCTTTTTGAACCCCCTTGTAGGACCCATACAGAACCGTGAATCTCTACAAAACCCTACAGAAAACTCCTGCAACACTTGTTACATTACAACCACATGAAAAACCATTTAATTAAACAATCTGATTCAAATTTACAACCTTCATAGATCCAGAGAAGACTCCAACGACCAGGCCTCTACACTGGCGTGGGGCTCTCACCTTCCATCTTCGGCCTCAACGCCGGTTCGGGGCTCGAAGAGCACGTTGCTTCAGGATTCAGGGCTCCTTGAAGGGCTCCGTTCAGGGCTCTAACTATCGGGTTGCAAAGGGATCCATACGGGTCTAGGGCTTCGGCGCTGGGGGGTAGGGTTTAGGGTGTTGTAGATCGTGTAAACATGTCGGAGGTCTCTTTCTGTGTCTTATATATGGGCTCTTTAGGAATGCGAGTAGCCGATCTCGGCCTCCTGATAAGAACGAGCGAGTATCAGCATATCTATGTTATATTTTAGCGTCCCTTTGGGGCGTCGGTTCTTTATGCTTTGAGGCTTCAAGGCTTAGAGGTTTGGCATCTGAGATTTAGGGTGTACTGTCTAGGAGTCTAGGGTCTTCAGGGTTTGGATTCGAAGGTCTACTGTTTAAGACCGGCTTTACGGCGTCGGTGAGCAAGATGTAGCTTCCGGCAGAAACAACATTCGCAAGCTGGAGTTTACGCCTGTTTCGGAGGTCGGGTTTCGGTTTCGGGGTCCAGGGTTCAAGCGTACAGAGTTGCACGGCTCGGTCTACGGTTCGTAGTAAGTATCGGCAGAGTGAGAACAAAGTTTTCTCTAATTGAAGCCGATTGAAGCCGTAGACAGCTTCGTGTAGGTGTTGACGAGTTTCTTACTAGTTGAGGACTTCAAAAGGGACCCTAATTCAGAGAACTACTCACGTATTAACGTTAACCACAAGTGGTTTTGCCAGCGCGTATGCAGACAGTCATGCATTTTCGGTACTCTTGTCCAGCGATTTCAACCGGGTGGCTTTCGTTTAATGTATGGCGTTTCCAGCATAGTCGTGTGACTACTGATCGGTATCACAAGGGCTGGTGTACTGAACAGGCTTTGTCCAGAAACTTGGCACCGTGGTCTGTTATCCTTAGCCCCAGCCGAATGCTAAATCCCTACACCGCAGCCCTTGATTGATCCCTAGGGTTTAGGGTTTGGGTTTACTAAACCCTAAACCCTAAACGTCTAGACCCCTAGACCCCTAAACCCCCAAACCCCCAAACCCCTGAACCCTAAACCCCTGACTCGCCGACCCCTCCATGATTGAGGCCTGAGCATTACCTTCGCCACCGACGCTGACAATTCCGTCCCAGGCCCCGGGCTTCGGATAGACACCATCGACCCTCATTGGGTTTAGGGTTTAGGGTTTAAATTTCTGCGGTCTATGCAAACGCTTCACAGGGGCCCGTAATAATTAGGGGGGGTTCCTTTTAAGGGTTCCTGAAAGGGTTACTGTAAGGGTTTAGGGTCTTAGGGGCCTTAGTAATTAGAGCAGGGTTTTGGGCCCCTGTATATTTATACTTGTATTGAGGAACCCGAAGGAATAATATTCGTAACTGTTTCAGCTTCTGCATTACGGAGGCGTCCTTATCCTACCCTTTAGGGCCTGCCAAAACAAAGGGACCCAGATCTTCGGGAAGTTCCCATGCTGCCGTCGCCTTGTTCGCCCCTGGCATTGAGATTTTGCATCGCTCGGAGCTGTTGTTCCCAGTTTCGCTCGGGCCTTTAGCCTTCTTGGAGACTGGGCCCTAAACCCTAAGCCCTAATGGGCTAGGACTTTTTCTCTGGGAAATAAGGGGCCTGAAAGAATGCGAGTGTGATGACTCAGGGCTGCGTTTTTCTGTTTGTAGTCCAGTAAGTGTAGTATACCCCAAGAGCCTGGTAAGCAAATAGTGTTCAAAGTTTAGGGTTTGGGTTTTGAGTTTGGGATGTTGGGCTCTAGGAGTGTGAAGATTAGGGTTTGGGACTGCAAGTGAAGTAGAGAAAAAGGGTTTAGGGCTTAGGGCTTTAGGGGTTTAAAGTAGGGTTTAAAGTTTGGGGCTTTAGGGTTTAAAGTTTAGGGTTTATAAGTTTAGGATTTAGGGTTTAGGGAGGCCTCCTTCGGATATTGGACACCATGTACCTTCCTGTCGATGCGTACTTCTAGGGTGTAGGGCTCTATCTATGCTTCAACACCGCTGTGATGATGAATCATGGGTCCACTCACACCCGCCGAAACCCTGAGCCTAAAGCAAAGCCTAAACCCCAACCCAACCCGAGCACTAACACCAAGGAAGCTGCGAAAGATAATTTTGAAGTAAGTAGCTGCGACGAGCTTTCGCAGGCCCATGGATTCCGGAGCCACATGGAGTCAACGGCATCACACTGGGATGGAGCGCGCGATCCCCAAGGGCTGCGCAGTTTTGTTCTTGCTGGAGATGTTCATTGAGTTCGAGGGTGCAGGGCTTCAGAAGCTTACACGGGTGTTTCTACCTACCGCAAACTCCTTTTCCATAGGGCCCCCCCTACCCTTCCCACATTAAGGCTTTTGGAAGACTTGCGTCGGGAGGTTAAAGAGTGTTCATGCTGTTAGGGTGTACAATTCCCGGACAATGGGAGGTTGTTCTGCAGTAGGTCCCTTTGAAGGCCCCATCTCTTAACAGAAGGGAGCCCTGATCCTTAAACTTCAGGGACGCCAATGGCAAAAAAATTTGGAAGCCCTGAACCCCCCCAAGTCCGAACTACTGAAGAACCGCCAAAGCCTCGTTCCATACAGAAGACTCAAGAAATACTGATACCCTTCCTCAGAGCTCCTGAGTATGACTGTACTGCAGCTACAAAGTAGACTAGTCATTCAGGCCCATGTTGAAGTTCTCTCTCCTCCCCTTATTATTATGTCTATACTATAATCTATAAGGCACCCCAAAATCCTATACAATACTACTATTAGAGCTCTATATCAGGGCTTCCCCCCCCCACCACCCACCGAAATCTTATTGGAGCGAGGCCGGCGCGAGCATCACAAAGGCAGTCATTCCGATGTCTGCGGATGTCGGGGCGTCCTACTACTGGTATCTGACTCTGGGGCTGCATACCGGAAGCAGTCTTTGTAGGCGGTGATTTGGGGTGATTTGGTGAGGGAAGACAGGATTCCGATTTTCGGGTTAAGGTGTAGGAATCAAGGTTCAGGGGTCAGGGCCTTCTGGTTTCGGGTCTGGGTATAGTTACATAGTCTGGGGATTCAGGGCACGAGTTCGAGCTCCTGGTTCAGAAAGGTTTCCAGACCGGCGTCCGGTTGTAGGACTATGCGTAATATTGGGGCCTTCATCATTAGAATTGGGTTTGGGGGATAGTATACTATACTTTATAATAAGGAACCCCAAAACCCTATTCTAATTATCAAGGCCCCTCATTATGCCTAGAAGTGCCTGCAACTGGGACTCAGTATCTACCAGGGCTGAGTTGCATCACAGTTCTATAAGGTCGGTATACAAGTTGTTTACTATAAACTATACTGTCTATAGTATGTAATATATATACATATATATATATATAACAATTGACATACTACATAATATACAATATTTATGGAACATGCAACATAAAACTACAAAATATACCATACATAACAGATGGTATGCAATAGATGATATACAGTATATAGCAGGTAGAATATAAACCGCAAAATATATACAATGAAAATACAAATACATGTACATCAAGGGTTCCCTACGAAGCACCGGTTTCTGACCCTGACACGCACATAGGGGATCTGTGGGTCGCGGTTGTGGTCGAGGATGGGGTTGGTCCCGAAATCCTTCGTGCACGAAATAGTATCTGAAGTAGGGTTTGAACTAGGCTTTAGGGTTTGGGTTTTAGGGTTTAGGTCTGAGGGTTAAGGTCTTAGGGTTTAGGGTTGTATCAGGGCCATGGTAACTGTATATAGGGGCTCCTTAGGAATATTGGTGAACAAAGGTATTTGGCATCATTCTGAAACCCTAAACCCTATCGGGTCCTTCGAAACCAACTTGTGAGAACTCCTTTAATTTTTGGAATAGGGTTTGGGGATTTATTATAACATAATTATCTCCTAGAAATCTTAACTCTACACCCCAAACCCTTCTGAATCGTTCGGAGTTTAGTTGTCAAGCGAAGGCTTTGGGGTTTAAGGGCTCCGTATGCTAAGGCGTATTGTAGCAGCCTCAACATTTAGAACCGGGTTTGTTTCAGGAGGGTTATAGGAGGTTATAGGTATTTAAGGTTTTAGCACCCTGATAGAATAGGGTCTCGGCGCATGTTATGTTATGTGAATTAGTTGTATCGGGATGGCGAGTTACGTTGCCCCGCCATTATGCTGAGCTGGGCCAACGCACACGGCTCTCCACTTGCGGCAGGTGGCCAGGGTCCAGGCCGCAAGAACAATCCAGGCACACTTTCGCCAATGGAAGGCGTTCCGGCGCTTTCGGAGCCCTAAACCCTAAATCCTAAATCCCCTAAGCCCTAAATCCTAAACCGCCACCCCTTTCGCCAACATGGAAGGCGCAGCGCCTTGCTGCCAGGCGATTGCAGGCAGAGTTCCGACGACTCCAGATCCAGCACCTCGCAAGGCTGGCTTCGCAAGCTGTACAGGAACTCTGTCTTAAGACTAAACCCTAAACCCCGAAACCCCTGAACCCTAAACCCTAAACCCCTGAAACCTTAACCCTAAACTCCGAAGCCTAAAACCCTAAACCCGAAACCCTGAACCCCGAAGCCCTAAACCCTGAAGCCTAAGCAGCCGTATCCCTGCCATAGAGCGGCCTTGGGGCCCGTGGCATCTGTCGGCACGCCCTCAGCTACGACTATGACTATCTATTCAGGCTCTAGGGTTTGGGGGTTTAGGGGTTTGGGGGTTTGGGGTTTAGGGGTTTAGCGGTTTGGGGGTTTGGGGCCTAGGGTTTCGTTATTTTAGCCCTCAATGCCCTAAAGCCCCCCAAGGTGTGATTGAAGGTCTTGGAGCTTGTAGGGTTTAGTGAAGTGAGCTAGCTGCCGCACCTTAAAGCCTACCTACCTGCCTACTTACCTACCTACCTACCTACCTACCCACCCGCCCACCACCCACCACCCACCCACCCACCCACCCACCCACCCACACCTACAATCCTAAACGACATCGGAAGCCCCAAACGCTTACGAATCTTGCACACCCCAAACAACGCCCAACTGCAACTGCACTTCAGGAATTCCGAGTGCTTCGGATCACTATCCGAAATGATCAAGTACCCTTGCGTGCAAGGATGACCTGGGCTTGGATGTAAGACTTCCGGGTGCGAGGGAGTCGAGGCTTGAGTTTGGCATTCGGTTTAGGGTTTAAGGTTTAGGGTTTAGGGTTCAGGGTAAGGGTTCGTTTAAAGATCCCCGTGGCAGATTCTACAGGAGTTCGATGTGTTTAGGGTTTGGGCTTTAGGGTCAGAGTCTTAGAGCTTGTGGATGTGGGCTGGGGGACATGGTCCTTCCAAGCATCTGTCACTGTAAAAGCTGGGCCTCAGTAGTTCGAAGAAGGTTGAGGTTGGGTACTATACTAGACCTCTTTTAGCGACTGTACCATTTCTAACTATCCTGTCCTGCATATTACTTCAAGTGCGTTCACTGGCTGATTCAGGCATTACCATAGGGGTCTTTATAATTGCCAATACTATTTTGGGGCTTCCTAATTATAAGTATATTATAACAGACCCCAAAACCCTATTCTGATTTTTAAGGCCGCTACACTAGGCTTGAGAGCTCCAAGTTGTTGGCACAGCATCGCCTGCTCCGGTTTCGGGGATTCACAGACCCCCGGGTGCGGGGAGAGGGGACTTGGCAGGTACTTGGAGGCTCATGGGTAGTTATAAGTGGGGTTATAAGTAGGGTAGCTATAGTTATAGCCCATATTAAGGGGCTTATAACCCCAGTTATAACTACCCATGAACCTCCAAGTAAGTGATGAAAAGAACGAAGTTCAGTTGCCCCAAGCTGGTGTAGTTTGTTCTATAAACTCGTAAAGCCAGATGTAAAGCTGATTGTACATGTAGCTTATTTGCTTATTATTCCCGAGTTCTCCATTTTGTTGTGGATGTTCAAGCGAGGCAGGTTTGAGTCCCCCTCCTGAAGACCATACAGAGCCGAAGCCCCGAAGTGCCCCAAACCTTTCAAAACTCCCAAGAATGCTGCACGCTATCTTCTCGGACTTTCAACACCCTGGCGTTGACCACTGCGCATCGGAACAGAAAAGTCGGCAAGCAGGCCTCAAACCCGTGGTGCTCCGCAAGCTTAGGTATATCTGGGTGCCTCGCTGCAAGGATTGCCAAGGTGCTGGAGGGAGCGGACGCCATTCCAAACCCGAAGCCCTAATCCTCTAACACAACCACAAGAAAAACCTTTCTGCAGTTTTAGAACTTCTTGGTCTGCTTTTTCGTTGTATTCCAGCTCGGCATGTCAGTTCAAATGCCTTGTTCGTTCGAGATGCCGAAGATGAACCGTTTGGGGGCCAATAGCCTGCAAACCCTAAACCCTTAGCCCCTAAACCCTAAACTCTAAAGGCCTAAACCCCTAAACCCCTGAACCCGAAACCCCCAAGCCCGAAAGCTTCGATTCAACGCTTGTTGGGGGTGTTCGTCGTGTCTTCCGATCATGACCCCCTGGCCAGGGGTCACCGAGAACGCCAAGATCATGGCTCTGCGTCTCAGCATTAACTTGCCTTCCTTTCCCTTCATCAGCCGCCTGGATGAATTAGAATGACCGCCGGCGGGGGTGTGGGGTGCTCCAGATTAGGGCCTCCTTACTACATTCAGAATCCTACTGTGTCAGGCTCTACAAAATGTCAGTTGTTTTCTGCAAATCCCTGTAGCGTAGGGGCTTAGGCTGACTGAACGGTTTCGTAGCATAGGCGGCGTAATAGTAGCAAAGAGTGTTGTTGAGGAAGGGAAGGGGGCTAGGTTACACTGTGAAAGGATTATACAAGAATGTTTTCTAACAGTATTCAGCCCCGACATTACGGTTTTGTGGATTCAAAGCCGCCAAACTGACCATGTACAGCATCCAAAGCCTGTCCTACCACCAAGGGCTGTACAACGGCAGCCATAACATCCCTCCCTGAACCGTAAAATTTCAACCCAGCAGCAGACATCGTGTCAACGTTCAACTTCACGGTCATTTTGCGGGTCTCGGAAAGACAGCACCTGAACATAAAAAACTGCAAAATACGATTCTTTCTCCAGGACCCCTCAACATTGGGAACCCCTTATTGTTTTAGAAAGGCCTTCTCAAACCCCTTGTATATATTTGACATGAAAGCTTCATAAACCCTCTAAAACCCTCTGTAAACTTAGAACAATAACTACACACCCTTTGAGTTTAAGACAACCCACCCTGGTCATCCGAAGGCGAAACTGCCTTCTCGCTCTTGGCTGCCATGTATGCGACTTTGGCAGACACATCTGTCCAGCTGAAAAGAGTGGGCTGAGGATTTGCGGCTCAGGGTCTAGCGTCCACGATTAATTTATGGCCGAGCCCGGAGCCTACATGCCGACACGGAAGGCCAGGAATCAAGTGCGTGCAGATCCATTAGGGTCTTGGGTCCTGGGTATTCACGCAAGTGGCAACTCAACTGTGTGAGTCAGAACTGCCCGATCACGCTTTGTCAGTCGCTGAGTGGCAGGAAGACCTGCAACGCAAACCCTATATTATACATAACACGAAGTCTACGCCTAAAGAGCCTTCCTCATCTCAAAGTTTAAGCTGTTTGTGCTGTGGACTGGCCAGGCTCACGACTGCGATCTATGTAGAGACGATAAGAGGAAGTTGCAAAATAGGACCCACAGGACTATCAAACTCAATGATGCCCCTAGCTAGGGCATCTTGAAGGGAGATGAAGCAGGGTTTCATCTGGGATTTTTTATGGGCTTTGTGTAGGGAGCACGTTGGGATTCAAGATTTTTTCTAAGGTTTTAGTGGGTGTATAAGGTTTGGGGTTTAGGGCTTAGGGTACAGGGGTTTAGCGCTTAAGGTACATGGTATAGCGCCCTGCGTTTAGGTTTGAGAGCCTTGGATGTAGGGCGGGGTTGAGACAAAGGCTCAGTGGTATAGCTTTGCTTCGGCAAAGCTCGAGGTGAAAGAGGTCGCATGTCGCTCTACACTGTATACTAAGACGATATCCTTTACCCATACATGTATACTATCTAAATAGCTGTTTAGAAATTTGGCCATCCATTCATATGCTTATGTTTCTATATATGTAAACACATACGTTCAAACATACATACTTGACATACATACATACATACATACATACATACAAACATACATACAAGCAGACATAAATACATACAAACATACAGACATATACACACGCACACATACTGTCACACTGGAAACCCTAAACCCCCAAGGACAAGTTCGTCCGCGAGCCTGGGCACCGGCCGACTGAGTGCTCCCCTGGAAGCGTTACCCTGCGTCACCAGGGCTGCACGTAAGGTTTAGGGGCTGTAGGATTTCGGCGTTGAGGGCTACCTTAATCCCTAAATTGAGGGGGGGGCTTGTTCAAGGTAGCGAGCTTGGTTTAGGGTTCTCCTTGTGGAGGCCGGGGAGGATAAGTTCCAGGTGGCACGGCCCTACTGTTTCACTGGGGTGGTTTGCGCTGTTCAGTTTCAGGGTTTTTGGTTTTCAGATTCTGGAAATCGGCCGCAGGGAGCAGCTTAGACTACACTTCACTCACTATGCGAAGGCTGCAAGGGGGCTAAGGCTTGAGGCTAAAACCGTAAGGCATCACGGGCAGGAGGCTTTAGGTTTCGGAAGTCTCGGATGTAATACAGGGGCCTGAATAATTACCTATACTATTTTGGGGGTTCCTTCTTATGCTTATAGTATAATATCCCCCAAAATTTTATTCTAATTTTTACGGTATAGGATTTTCCATGCTTTCGGCTCGGAGTACTCAGCTGGGACCTTAAGGATCTTAACTTTGGGGGTGTTCCCAGGGTTCTGATGGTGGGATTTACAGGTTAACTTTTTCTTCTACGCCTCATGATGAGTTTAAGGTTCAGAACTCGGGAGTTCTGAGGTAGCGCGCGGAGACGAGACAGTTGCAAGAAGGCTGAGAAGAGCAGTGTAGAATCCCCAACCTGAAGCATGAGCCCCCACAAACTTGCGAAAACCGGAACCAGAAGCTATAAACCCTCAGGCCATAAAGGAACCCTTACACGAAAGCTCTTCTTCATGGCTTCTGCTATCCCCGTGGTCTGCACACTTCCTCATGGAAGCTTCAGTGGAATGAGCGCAGGGATGTAGGCTACATGGTCTAGGTGGGGTGTATGGACTTGGGTTCTCGAGTCTAGGGACTTGGGTTCTCGAGTCTTGGGGTTTAAGCTTTAGGGTTTAGGGGTTAGGGGTTTAGGGGTTTAGAGTTTAGGATTGAGGGTTGAGGGCAGTGCAAGCATTCAGGAAGGCAGGGACCTGAGTTCAAGACGTCGTGTGCGATCGGAGGGTTCTGAGGTTCTGAGTCGAAATCCGCAGCCCTAGAGCGCTGCACCCTAAGCCCTTTGGGGCCCCTGGGCGCAGAGTAGGGTTTAGGGGTTAAGGGTCTAGGGCTTGGGGTCCAGGGTTAAGGGTTTAAGGGCTTAGGGTTTAAGGGTTTAGGGTTTTGGGTTCTTTCCCGTGGCAAGGACGTGACGCCAGCCACCTCATCCGGCAAGTTGGCGATTTAATGTTTGAAAACGCAAGGCTCCTGGAGGATTTGGTGAACAAGATGGAGTCTTGGCTTGACGTTTGGGTACCCTAAACCCTAAACCCTGTTTTGGGTTCACAGCTTAGGGTTCGTTTTAGTGGCGAGACAATCTTTTGCAACCTAGGGCGCAGATCCAGGATGATTTTATATTTTGTGGTTTGTTTATGCTTTATGATACGCTTTGCATGTTTGATTTTTTACGGACTGATTTATCCTGTTGCCTTTTTTATGATTTGTTCCTGGTTTCTTCATGGTCTTTTATTGTTATTTTTTATGGGTTGTTTCTGTTGTTGTTTACGGTTTTGCTAGCCCGGGCCACGAAATCTTGAAAACCTCCTAAGTTATCCTAGCGAGTTTCTGGAATTGTATGATTTCGTCTGGTTTTGCTAGCAAAATCACACTTTTCCAAGGCCCGTGTTGGGGCCAGGCAGCTTGGGTTTGGGGGTTGTCAAGCAAGCGCCAGGTTTGCGGCCGGAGGTTTACGGTTTGCGGTTTGGTTCGGGGTTTGAGTCTACTGCGGCGGGATGACGAGGACGTGTCGACATCACAGATGGCTATTGCGGAGAAATACAACCCCACCTTCCAGCAGTCGCAAGAGTATGCGAACTGGCTGAAGGTATCTTGGCACCTTCATAAAGGGGGAGGGGCCGCAACTTCAATCGCGATTGGGGCTACCTTCAAGTACTTGAAGCACTTACAGGCAACGATAATTACTGCCTCTTCGTGGGACTCAACTTCTTTCGTGAAGTACAGGTAACATGGGCCAACGAATTTCATCAGCCGGGGTGTAGGATGTGGGGCCTTTGGGCTTAGAGGCTAGCCCAGCGTTCTAGATCCTTGGCCCTACAAGCCTTCAACCCTAGACCGCTAAGGCCTTAGTCAGGTTTACTTGTCTGCCAGTGTAGAGCTGAGTTCTTCGCAAGATGGGATACCCCAGATAAGCCTTACTCACTATCTAGCTTCCGGCTCTAAAGCTCATAGGGTTTAAGAACCGTGAGTCCTAAACCCGAACCCTAGGGTTCGGGGCATACTCATTATCGAGCTTCCAACTGCCCCCCCCAGAACTGTGAAAGAGCAACGTCGTCCACATGCGTGGGTCTGAAACCGGGTGAACCCCCTTTTGAGGTTTGGGGTTTAAGGGTTCAGATAAGCCCTCTGTTTACATGTCTACAGCCCTTCCCTCTAGACCCCCCCAACCTCATGCCACTGAACATGCATTCCCAGGACTTCTCGCCCTGAAGCTTGCAACCCTGAGACCGCAGACCACTGAGGCCGCCACCGAAGACTTCGACACCTGCGCTAAAGTTGGGCCCATTATGCAGGTCCAGGCTGAGGACGAGGAGGAGGTGATGAAGATCCTCGGCTGACAAGCCCAAACGGTAAAACACGAGAGTCCTCGCCCTTTTCATGACCATCATGGTCATCATACTCAACTCTGTCGCCGCCGTCACCATGACATTCGGCAGCGCAGTCCTTATCTCCCAACCTAGCGCCTGCACTTCAATGATCTATCTCGCAAGCTTGCAGTATCAGGCATGAGACCACGCCACTAGCAGTAGTTGCAGCCGCAGCGGCGGCGGAAGCGCAACGCAATACAACTGCCACTAACAACGACGACAGCGGGGGGAAACAAGAACGGGATTGAGAAATGGTAACAAGCACCAAAAACCCACAGCCAATCACCAACAACCACAGCAATCAGTACAGCAGCAGCAGAAGAAGCAGCAGCAGCAGCAGCAGTAGCTACTACTACTACTACTCCTCCTCCTCCTCCTCCTCCTGCTGCTGCTGCTGCTCCTGCTACTGCTACTGCTACTGCTACTGCTACTGCTGCTGCTGCTGCTGCTGCTGCTGCTGCTGCTGCTGAGGCTACTGCTACTGTTACTGCTCCTGCTCCTGCTCCTGCTCCTGCTCCTGCTCCTGCTCCTGCTCCTGCTCCTGCTCCTGCTCCTGCTCCCGCTACCACCACTACTACTACCACTACTTCTACGGCTGGTACTACTACTACTACTACT